ACTTTTAATTTATATATTTAAGATAAAAATTAGAGGAACATTATATTAATTTTAATATCAAAGTTCATACAAGGAAAGGAAGTTCGATTCGGCTAGATGGTATAATCAATTCTTTTCTTTCAAAAATAAAATAAATAAAATTGTTAGCAAATCATTTCAATCAAAGAGGTAACGTACTAGTGGCAAAAGTCACAGAAAGTCTTCTTGAAGTCATGTGTTCAAGCCTCCGGGGTGGCTAATTTAAGGTAAATCCTCCAAAGGATTTAAACCGTCCGGTTGAATGGTTTTACCGGTTTTAAACGGTTCAACCGCTCTACCGGTTTTAAATATTGAACCGAATCGTTTTTAATACCGGGTACTGGTTTGACCGATTCAACCGGTCAATCCGGTCTGGTTTTTAAAACATTGGTTGGAACTCCAATTTTTTTTTGAGAGGTCGGACTGACTAGCACTTTCCCAATAATATAATGCAACTTATGTCAAAGAATTAGTTGGGGCTCTAAGTGGTCAGAACCCTTAACTATATTGGAGAGAATTAGAGTTTGAGTCCTATTAGTGTCAAATTTATTCAATTTATGAAATTCTATGATAAATATATCTTAATGCACAAGAGGACAACAAAGTTGAATCAAATCAAGTGGCACGAATCTTGAAAGCATTCGAGAGAGTCAGTGTTCAAACCTCATGGAAGTCATTTTCCCTTTAAAATCTTTCGTACATTCTTTAAAAGATATTCTTTGCAACTTTGTTTACAACAAGCGGGGTATGCCGGTGGCAAATGGCTTGGCAGCCCTCTGTGAGGCTTGGTGTTCGAAACCCATAGGAGACAAATTTTGGAGAATTTCCTCTCAATGGTTGGACGGGTTATTGGTTTGGACGGTTTGAGTGGTTTTAAATGGTTTTAAGCAGTTCAACCTCTAAATGGTTTAAAATACTCACCCGATCCGTTTCTACTATAGGGTGTTGGTCCGACCGACTCAACCGGTCGGTCCAATTTGATTTTCAAAACAGTAGTCTAAAGTTGAAGGGGTGTAATTTGGTATACATGTTTTAAGGTTTGCTATTTAGATTAACTGGACAAATAAGAACATTTAAAGGGTGTTTGTTTTGGTGTTTTGTAAATAATTATCAACTGCTGATTTTAATCAAGTAAATTAAATATTTCAGATTAAAAACAATAATTATTATTAACTATTAAATATTAACTATTAATTATAGTTAAACAATTAATCCAAACACCCCTTTAATTATAAACAATAATAACTTTTTTTTTTGGAAGGGGCAATACAGGGAAGGGGAGTGGGATTTTTCAAAGCAATGGTAGGAATTGAACTCCCAACATGTGTACTTCCTGATGGACTATTGGGCTGCTCTAAAGGACGCTCCTCAACCGTGCTACGTAAGTGCAAAGCAACAAACTTTCAGTCTACCAAAAATGGTTTTCTTAATCCTTTTGATGTTTTAAACAGATAACCAACCAGACAAGTACCTCGGTTTGGAAAACAGACCCCACGAAATGGACATTCAGAGGACTTTTTCTCCGCACTAGAGTAATGGATTCCTTCTCGATCAACTTTTTTCTCCGCGCTCTTGTTTTTTTAGGGGACATCAAATACAAAATGATTCTCCATTATTGCCCTTCAATTCCTTCAAATTATTCGACAATTTTATGATATTCCCTTGAAGATAATTGTTAGAAATTGAAAAGAAGAAGAATAATTTGAAAAAAGATTTATTACTTTTTTGAATAATACTGTATGCATAATCACCTATATATAAGTGTTTATAAAGAGAATATTTTAAAGTATATAAAGAGAATATTTTAAAGTATATAAAGAGAATATTTTAAGGTATAAAATATTTACAATAATTGTATTTATATCTTAACAATAATGAAAATCTATAGAGACTTAATCTATAAGTCCAGGATTTTAAATTTTGAGATCGACATCAAGTTAATATTAGAGGTGCACTTTTAAAATTATTCAAAAAAATTAATTTTCACTTACGGTAACTTGGCTTAAAAACACCTCATATTCAAACAAAAAAATAAAAAATAAAAAACAAAATAAAACTTGAACATTACATGGAACACTGGTGTATTTCCTTCAACAATATATATTGATTTTTTTTTCCCTGGCTGATGAGAATGGAACTTTATACCTTTCATTCAGTGCCAGCATATTCCTTCCCCTTTTCTTTAATTTATTATATCTAATGGCTAATGAATTCCTCCTCCATCTATATAAGGATGCAAGTTTCTCAGTTTAATTTGAGTCAGATCGAGCAAAGAAAAAACAACGATAAAATAGGAATATTAATATTATCGTAGCAGAATGAGGCCACCAGTAAATAACATCAACAAAGGCCCAGGTGCTGGCGCTGAGAATACTGGCGTCAGAAGTGCAAGTATCAACAGCAACAAGAAGGGCGCAAAAATCAACTTCAACACTGGGGGATCCGATGAATTAAAAGTTCCATGTGGCGGGAATGTCAACAAAGGCCCTGGCGCGGGAGGTACCAACAAGGGTGACTTTAGTGCAAGTATCAACGACAACGAGGGAGATATCAATTTCTAATTAGAGTAATATATGTTGAGGCCTAGAGGTTATGAATAATAAATAAAAGAACTGCTTCGGCGCTCACTGTACTGAAGCAGATTATTATAGATACCTTAAGGCCAAAAACAGTACTATCATCTATGTCCATGTAAAAAAAAAAAAATGTTGTAATGTATTTCATGAGCAATAAATAATATATGGTCCTTTGGTTTTATTATTATTTTTTGTTAATTTCTATTTTAGATCTATTTGGGATTTTAATATCTCGGAATGCAGAAGGATTATGGATTCTTTATCCGCCTGAAGAGTATGCTTCTTCTTTTTCAAGCTGTTGTTGTAATTTTGTGCTTTTTTTTTTTAATAGAATATTGGAGGGTTAGTTGTTTGGTATAAGAGAGGTTTGAATCTTTAACATTAACCCCATATTAAGCTTTTTAAGTTAGAGGATAGTATCTTGGCCAAGCTCTTGATAGTTGTAATTTTGTGCTTATGGATTGTGGTTGAGAGTGATGATATGCCCTTCAAGAGGGGATCATGCTTAGCTGCAGGTTCGCATACCAAGTGTGCATGAAATGCCTACGGTGGCCATGTTGCCAAACATCGTCCAGAAGGCTTACAGGCGGGTCTTGCTGGGGATGATCAATGCTAGAATAAGGAAAGTGTGGTCCTATTTTTTTTGTTATGGTTATTACATGGTCTCTATGGAATGCATCGTAACAACCTCATCTTTAGAGCTCAAGGGGCTTCAGTGCTGGAAGATTCATTTGAAAATATCTAAGTTAGAACATTTCTATGGCTAAAAGAAAGGTCAAGCAGATTCACTTTTCATTTCATAACTGGGTCAACAATCCATTAGAGTGTGCAGTGGCCATTAACTACTTCAGGTTGTGGTTTATGGCCACTAATGGAATTGTTAAGGTTATTAAATTTGTATTCATTTAATTGATATTTGTAATTTGTTTCTTGAACAAGTGATTATAATGTCTAAAAATGTTAATTTATAAACTAATTTCAATTTATTAAGTAATAAATATTATTTGTTCTATCAATTATTAACTACTTTTAATAATCAAATCAAACTGAATTAATATTTTTGGCGGCCTTAACAATTTTATTAATGGCCATAACCACAACCACCTAATTCAGGTTGTGAATTTTTTTTAGTCAATAAAACAAAAATATTATTATATTGGGTGTATAAGGGGTGCTTTATCCCATTACAAACTTGTAACAAGGGTGGAGAATTCTAACAAATGATTATTCACGGCTGCGAGGTTGTTGAAGGCCAATTATTTTCCAACAATTGGAGTTAGCTTGAGTTTAATGTTGGTTACCGTGGGCTAATTGAAATGATGCACTTTGGAATGGGAAATACAAGTAGCCGGGTCAAATTGTGTCCCATGGGGTGCAATCCTTACGAGAGTATAAAGAAGTGAGAAACATGGGTAAGAGTGAATCTCAACATAGTGGCCAGAGGAGGGAGAGTAGGTGGATACCTCCAGAGGCTGGGCAGCGCGAAATGAATGTTGATGGGGCTTGGAATGAGCATAGGCGTGTATGGGATGGGGCCAGTGATACGGAATGAGCAAGGGCAGGTTGTGGCTGCTATGGCTTGTAAAGGGAATGGGTATTTACCAGCGGTGGTGGTGGAGGCTTATAGCCTCAGGAAGTGCTTATCTGGATGGCAGAGTTGGGTTGTGGATGGGTAGACGAAGTCGTGTGTGATGCAGCATGTGTGGTGAGTGGAGTTTCTGCTACAGATCGAAGTGGGCTATCAGAATTGGAAATGAATTTTGAGGATTGTCAAATGCTACTAAGCAGTTTAGAAGAGTGCTCCTCGTGGCATGTTCGAAGAGAGGGGGATAGTGTGGCCCATGAGTTGGCAAAAAGAGCCTTAACAAATGATGATGATGAGTATTGGGTGGAAAAAAAAGTTGTGCCAAGTAATATTATGTAATTTGTAGCCGAGGACATGAGGAAGTTCTTGCTATATGTATGATGTTATTCCTCAAATGAAATAAAATATGGGTGTATTTCGAATAAAAAAAAAACTTGTTAACTGTATCTCAAACGCAAAAGCTTTGAGTTCCACCATTATTACTGGGAGCTCAGGTTGTGAATTAATGTTATTGATATGAATTAATGTTATTGACATGAACTTAGAGGAATTGTTTGATGGTATTATAGTTGGTGGCTGTAACTGGATTGAGGTAGCCTTATATCTCATTAATAAAGTATTTTATTTATTGATAAAAAAAATATGTCTTTAAAGAATGTGGTTATAATTATCATCATCAATATTATTAAGATTATTAAAATTTTAATTTTTTTTCTTAAATAATATTTCAAAATATCAATTTATTGATTATTTTACTTTATTAATTAATACATATTAATTGTTCTATCATTTATTAGTTAATGGTTACAATTATTAGTTATTTTTGTTAGTTAAATTAAATAGAATTAGTATTTTTAAAAATAATATTTTATAATTTTAGTAACCATAACATTATTGTTAGTGATTGTATCCGTGGCTGCCTTTCAAGGGAGAAAAAATAGATACCCTTCCAATAGGTTTTATGGGGCACGGTTATGGCCATTGCCCAAAGTGTTAAGCTCACCGAAAATTGTAAAATATATCTTTAAAAATATTGATTTAATTTAATTTAATTGATAAAATAATTAATAACTATAATTATTAATTAATAACTGATAAACTAATTAATATTTATTGGTTTATAAATTAATATCAATTAATTAATTAATAAATTAATATTTTCAAATATTATTTAAAAAATTTAAAAAATAAATGACATTAGCATCTTTTATGATGACAATAACCAATTTTACGCCCTTTACCTTCTGATGGGTTGTGTGCACCGGTCCCGAGTCTAATATATCTTCTATGGTATTTTTTAACTATTCATAATTCTAGTAGTTAACTGTAAAAAAGAGATCGTCTTGAGGGTTGAAATCCTCCTTTCGTGGACAGAAGATTATTTATTGAAAGGTTAAAATGAGTAATTTTATTTTATTTTATTTTATTTTTTTAATAAAAATTCATATATTTTATTGATTAGTAAGAAAGAACATCCACTAAATAATTGTGGATTTATATAAGTTGCTAATAATTTGTGTATTAGTGCTTGTATGATTTTAGATTTAGATATGAATAATGATACGTACACTCTGTACAGTTATATACTTTGTTATATATTGATAGAAATTAGTGTGTAACAAAAATCGTAAACTGACACAAATAATAGAAATAATTAATTTTAATGGTATAAATAATAAAAATCATCAACTTAAACAATATAAATAACAAAAACTGTTAGTGTATAACTTCTGTAGTCAAATGTACTAATTATTTTCCTTTAGATATACCTTTCATTAAGAGGCACAGATGACGATGTTATTTATTAATTTCTTCTAGACATCTAGGCTCTACCGTGTGATTAGCAAGGCAGCTAAGAACCAGGTTGCCGTGAATCCAAAACACATCTTCGGTAGGGAATTCTGGCCATCTTGAATTATTCTTTGACTTGGACATGGATATATAATAGGTTTTCTTAGTGAAAAATTAAAGAATATGGGTTAGGTTGATTTGCCTCTGTTTTGCCTCTTAAAAAGGCGAATCAGTTCAGGGGTTTGGCTCAGCGATTGGGTCCGCTGGGGCTGACTTTAGCTTACATTCTATTTTACTTTTTACATTTTTGAATTTTGTTTGCAGCTTAATAATAGTAATAGTAAGAACTACAGGTAAAGATGGTGTCATCTAAAGAAGAGATAAATATTTCTCTGAACCCTTCTGCTCAAGCTACAGGGGGGAAAACCTAACCTAGATTGAGTATTAGATGGAGATATAAGGAGTGATTAATAAATAATAAAATTAAGGCCTATCTTACATAAGTAATGAAAATAATATTGTCACCCCCCAGAACCCAAATCCGAGGCGCGACAGACACCGTGCACTCGTGAGACAGGTCCCACAAGTGCACAAGGCTCGGAACTTATTCAAATCACAAACTAATACCATCAAAATCTAAAGATCAAAATTTAAAATCTCTCTGATATCATAAATCTCCAATAAAATCTCCAAATACAAGATCATGATTTATTTCTAAATCTATGCTCAATCTCGAAATGGCTAGCCTTCTAACTTGTCACTTCCTGTGGTTTCCCCGTCCTCGATTTCACTTCCTGAAATGGTGGACAAGGAAAACTATGAGATAAACTCAGTAAGTAAATATGGATAGCCCTTGGGTAAAAATGTAAGCATGCCAGATAAACCATGTAAGTATAACAAAACTTTCACAAATAAACTGTTAATGCAGAAATCAAGTTCGGTTCAATAGCAAAACGTTCAATGACAAAACCGTCAATGCAAAATCATAGCATGCCAACAAGTGTAATCACGAAAACAGATACAGTACGGGCACGAAATAGACGTCTCCTCTATGGGGCACGGCCAGTGTTTAAACCTCCCACTGGCAGGCTACAGGAATTACTAGTGTTTAACCCCCACTAGTAGGGATACAGGAACGAACCGGTTCTATCAATAACATATCGACATGCGCCGACATGTGCTAGCGTTTAACCCCCACTAGCAGGATCATCAATAACATATCGACAT